AACCATATTCCACCCAATTAATTATGCTAAACTTGAATTCCTCCCCAACTCGATTATAAATTAATTATAGAATTCCACTCACTGGAACCCGGAATTAATTTTATGAAAGTTAATATAAAGAGGAAATAATCTTGAGGAGGTCTGAAGGTTGTGTGTTCCCTTTAACTGGTTCGATAAGTAACCTGATTAAGTAAATAGTTTCGTGGTAAAGTTGATTAGGTATAACGAGCCAATTAGTAAACTATCGGATTGCTGTAACATAATCTTTACATACACACGCACATACACGCACATACATGCACATACAAGAACACCCACACACACACACACACTACTACTACTTTGCTGTCACTCTGAATCGAGTATGACGATCATCCAGCTATGATACAATGATATGAGTTATTAAGGATGTCACTTTCATTGGTGAGTCCTGAGGTGACTAAAGAGGCCTGTACGGGACCGGCAGGGTCGATCACAGACGTTGCACATGTGGGGGGCTACATCTAGTCCTGGGGGAGGAGGAGGGGAGCGGCGGCAGCGTCTTTCAGGCGCTGGCGCTTGTCTGCCTAGTTATGCAGTCGGGTTAACTCGAAAGAATAGACACCTTCTTCCGTGGTGCTCCTCCAAGTGTTACGATGTGGAGTAATCATCTCCCAGGTGACGGGGTCGATTTGGCACTTTTTCAGGATTGTCTTAAGACTATCCTTATACCTTTTCAGGTGTCCACCAGCGTTACGTTTACTATTCATTAGGTGACTGTAAAGTAGCTGCTTTGGCAGTCTACAGTCGTCCATGCGGTAACATGACTAGTCCAGCGTAGTTGTTCGTGGATAAGGGTAGCCTCGATGTTTCTACACTTGATGTCAGCAAGAATATTGGCATTTGTTCTCTTGTTTTCCCAGCGAACTCGGAGGATGGAACGTAGACTACGTTGGTGAAAGTTTTCAATTGCCTTGATGTGCCTCCTGAATGTGACCCATGTCTCGCTGCCATATAGCAGGGTGGGAAGGACCACTGCTCGATATGCAGTTCAAGACGCGGTTTCGGAATCTGCCAAAGGCTTGAGATGCTCATCTGATCCAATGCTGAATCTCTTCATCGATGTCCGCGGTGGTGGACAGGTGGGAGGCGTGATACCGGAAGTAGGTAACATTAGAGAGGGTAGTACCGTTAAGCTGGATGGATGGCGGAGGTGTGGCTGAACCAGGGGCAGGATGAAAGAGTATCTGAGTCTTACGTACATTCACCTCAAGACCGTGCATACACATCTGCGTAGGTGTTCAGGATCTCCTGTAGTCTCGCGTTCAGTGTGAGCAACAGGGGTGAGGTCGTCTGCATACTGAAGCTCAGTAATGGAAGCTGCCGACACCTTTGTTCCTGCATGGAGTCGTCTTATTATGAAAAGATCCTTCGGGGGAGCTGGTGGTAGAGCGGTACCGTTCTTGCCTCGCAAGCAAGATGTCACGGGTTCTATTCCCGGACCGGCGGAAGTTGTTTGGACACTCTTCCTAGTCCCGTTGGTCCCTGTTCACCAAGCATCAAAGTAGGTACCTGCTGTAAATCGGAAGTTGCAATTTCGTATTCAGGGACAAGTTGTTGGAACTTCCAATAACTTGCTTAGACATAAACCATTGACTCTTCAGGCTTCTACGCCCTCGACTCTTCAGGCTTCTACGCCCTCGACTCTTCAGGCTTCTACGCCCTAACTCATGAGACATAAGGCGAGCATGAATTTAGCATGCTTCCCTGTTGGGCGTTATAAACGCTTCTGCACTTCACCTTACACAAGGATGTGGGGGGTGCCCAAAAAATGAAAAAAAGAAAAAAAGATCCTTCATCCAGTACTCGATGTCCACCCTGCCGGCTAGATTGACGCTGGCAAAAGTAAGGAAGGCAGCCAAGAAAATGGAAAAGGGAGTTGGTACCGGTACACCCCCTTGTTTAACCCCCGTTTGGATGGGGAAGAACTCAGACTGGGTGCCATTGGCAGGACACTGCCATTCATGCCATAGTGGAGTTGCCTCACAATGGAGATGAATTTTGGTGGGCAGCCAAAGCGGCTGAGGGTCCACCAGAGGGCTTCCCTGTTGACCCAGTCGAAGGGCTTGGTTAGTTCGATGAAAGCCATTACAGGTCACGACGCTGTTCTCTGCACTTTTCCTGTATCTGGCGGGCAGCAAAGATCATGTCAGTGGTGCCACGTGATGATCTAAAGCCACATTGAGTTTCTGGGAGGAAGTTTTCCACCTCAGGAAGAAGTCTGTTCAGGAGGACTCGGGTGATAATCTTGCCAGCTACAGATAGCAGCGAGATCCCGCAGTAGTTGTCAGAGTTTGACCAGTCTCCCTTGTTCTTATAAATATTGACGATGGAGGCGTCTTTAAGAGCTTGGGGATTTCCTCCTTTTCCCATATATTCTCCAGGAGAGAGCGGAGACGGCTGGTAAGTGGATGTCCTCCTGCTTTATACACCTCGGCTGCGATTCCATCAGGCCCTGAGGCTTTGCTATTTTTCATCTATTTAATTGCAGTAGCTACCTCATCCAGGGATGGAGGATAGCTGAGGTGGGTCAGCTCTGGATGCTGAGGGACCAGCTGGGTAGTCAGGACATAAATATCGGTGTTTCTGTTGAGCAGAGAATGGTAGTGCTCTTTCCATTGCTGAAGGAGGCCTTCATCCTCTTTAATTATGGAGTTACCGTCGTTTGAGCAGAGGGGAACTGCGCCATGAGTGACTGGCCCAAAAAATGTTTTAGTGGAATTCGAAAATTCGCGCATCTTGTGCTGATCTGTAAATTATTGTGCTTCACATGGTTCATTTTTAAACCAGTCACTCTTTAGATTGCGAAGTTCCCGCTGGGCCGCCGTTTTCTTCTTGCAGAAGGTATCCGCTTTGGTCCGAGACTGAGGGTTGTTCTGCCAGTCAGTTAAAGCAGCACGTTTATTGTCGACGAATACATTGATTGCCGGGTCATTTTCCTCAAACCAGTCCTGGTGTATTCTTTCGATCTGGCTGATGGTCTCTCCGCAGGTTTTTGGCCTGACAGTGTTAACAATATCCCATTCGGCACTGGGATTTGCGTTGTTTATCAGCCCTTGTTTGAGCTGCTCTCTGATAGCATGTGCTACCGCTGGATCCTCCAGATGCTTAATGTTAAAACCTTTTCTGGTTGCTTGCTACCTTCGCCGTTTTGGAGCGACGTGAAGTGAGAGTTTGGCTCTGACGAGTCGATGATCAGTGTCACAGTGGTCTGAGCCACGCGTGGCACGGGTGATGAGGACATCTCGGCGATCTCTTTCTCTGACAATGATGTAGTCAATGAGATGCCAGTGTTTGGATCATGGGTGTTGCCACGAACCCCTGAACTTTTCGGCTTCCCAAAACAACACACACACACACACACGCACACACACACACGCACACACACACACACACACACACACACACACACACACACACACACACACACACACACACATTCCTTCTACTCACTGATATTCACAAAAATCTCATAAGTTGGGACCATCGGGAACTCGGAGAAGCTTTTCCCCAATGTTGACATACTGAATAGGAGCTATTGAACCGTACCTGTCCGTGCATGGACTGGTTGGCTCCCTCATGGAAGGTACGGAGAGGTATTTCTGGTGATGAGGAGAGGACCAGGAAATCGAACCTGGATTTTAGAGGTGTTGAGAGAGAGAGAGAGAGAGAGAGAGAGAGAGAGAGAGAGAGAGAGAGAGAGAGAGAGAGAGAGAGAGAGAGAGAGAGAGAGAGAGAGAGAGAGAGAGAGAGAGAGAGAGAGGCACAATTCAGTAAGATTAATTGGCTCCCTCATGAAAGGTACACAGTGAGATATTTCTGGGTATGAGACGAGACTCTGGGATGGAACCGAGGTCTTGGAGGTGCTGAGAGAGAGAGAGAGAGAGAGAGAGAGAGAGAGAGAGAGAGAGAGAGAGAGAGAGAGAGAGGGAGAGAGAGAGAGAGAGAGAGAGGAGAGAGAGAGAGAGAGAGAGAGAGGTGAATGAGATTAAGAGAGAAAATAACAGAGACAAAGAGAGAGAAAATGGCGGAAAAAAGAGAGTGATATGACGGAAAAGAGAGTGGGAGAGAAAAGAAAGAAAGAAAGGAAGGAAGGAAAAGAATGGTACGATACGGTAACAAAAGAAATGATATAGGTATAGAAACTGAGTCCTGGAGGTCCTGTGAACACGTCTGAGGTCGAGAGGGCTGTGAGAGGGAGAGAGGGACGGGGAGGTTAAATAAAGAAGGGTTGAGGGAGAGAGAGAGAGAGAGTATGCTGGTATGTCTTGTTTCATTGGTGTGTGTGTGTGTGTGTGTGTGTGTGTGTGTGTGTGTGTGTGTGTGTGTGTGAGCATTCGTCTACTCTAAAGAATATAAGTAAATCTTTGTGGCCTAACTTCCGTACATCAGTGACAAGTGTTCTGAACCAATAGAGAACCAGGTCTTGTCATACACATTGACCACAGCGGGTGTCGAACTGGTGTACCTAAGATGTGGTTAATATTTTCTTGTCGCCCTGAGGGAATATCTAAATGATAAAATGGTTAATGTTCTGTAAAAAATGTATATATATTAAATTAATTTGTTTAGGTTTGTGTGTGCTGAGAGAGATAAACTATATGTCTTCCAGTGTATAAACAATGATCGTCCCCCTCAATTTTCAACTGCCCCACCTCCTCCATCTCTTCCTCTCTATGTACACACAGATGAAACGACTGTACGTAGAGGTGTACATACTAACAGTCATCCTCCATGTACACTTACATGAATAGACTGTTCGTGAAGGTGTTCACATTAACCACCTCCTCTCCATGTACACACAGATGTAGACACTAACCACCTTCCTCTTCATGTACACACAGATGTAAACACTAATCACCTTCCTCCTCATGTACACACAGATGTAAACACTAATCACCTTCCTCCTCATGTACACACAGATGTAGACACTAACCACCTTCCTCTTCATGTACACACAGATGGAGGGGCTGTACGTGGAGGTGCTGTACACGGTGTTCCACAAGGTAGGCGCTCAGCACCACTCGGATAAGCGGGACATAACGGAGGACCTGCCCAGGTATGCTCAGGCGGCCTTCCACATAGACCCCCAGGACCACGTCAGGCTACAGGCCGTCGCCCAGGAGGAGAAGGTTAGTACATGCTATTACAGGTCTCTAATAGGAAGGAGGAAGGGCAGTACAGGTTATCACAGGCCATCATTAGGGAGAGAAAGGTCAATACAGGCTATGACAGGTCAATGTTTTGGAGTGAGAATGCTAGTACAGTCTTTTACAGGAAGAAGATCAGTGTACGCTGTGACAAGTCATTATTTGAAAGGAGGAAGATCTTTACAGGCTGTTACAGGCTAGGAAAGAAACTCGTAAACAAAGGGAGGGGGTCAGCCTAGCCTGTACCATGTCGTAGGAGGAAGACAAACAAAGAGAGAGAGAGAGAGAGAGAGAGAGAGAGAGAGAGAGAGAGAGAGAGAGAGAGAGAGAGAGTAAAAGAAAAAAAATAAGATATCACATAATTTTTGAGCCACCATATATCAAAGGCTGGTAATAGAATATTTTAATTAGAGAGAGAAAGAGAGAGTGAGAAAAGAAGAGAGAGAAAGAGAGAGGGAGGATAACAAAGGCAGATAGATAGGGTCAGATGAAGAGAAGAAAGAAGAGAGGAGAAAAATAAGGAGAGATAGAGAGATATTGAGGGGGAATGCTAAAGTCAGAGGGAGGGAAGATTGACAAATTAATAAAGGGGTTATAGACATCAAAGCCAGTCTCTCTCTCTCGTATTTTTAGCTATCGTTATTCTTTCTTTTCATTCTTCTATTGTGCGCCTCTACATCTATATATATAAAACAAAGAAGTCTGTTTGTGTGTTCGCACGAGAATCTCGGAAAACTGCTTCATCGATCTGTAGTGATGATGGATGGTGTTATATGTAGTGATGATGGATGGAAAGTATATGTAGTGATGATGGATGGTGTTATATGTAGTGATGATGAATGGTGTTATATGTAGTGATGATGGATGGTATATAGTGATGATAGATGGGTTTATATGTAGTGATGATGATGGTGTTATGTAGTGATGATGGATGATGTTATATGTAGTGATGATGGATGGAAAGTTTATATGTAGTGATGATGGATGGTGTTATATGTAGTGATGATGGATGGTGTTATATGTAGTGATGATGGATGGTGTTATATGTAGTGATGATGGATGGTGTTATATGTATTGATGGTGGATGGTGTTATATGTAGTGATGATGGATGGTGTTATATGTAGTAATGATGGATGGTGTTATATGTAGTGATGATGGATGATGTTATATGTAGTGATCTCAAAAAAACTCCAACCAACCCGATCCGACATACCCAACCCGACCCGACCCGACCCAACACACCTGAGAGAACGAGAGAAAGAGAGAGAAACTAACAAGGTATGCCAAACGTACGATATTTCACACCATGGCCTAGGGTGGCGTTTCTGCTAGTTCACTATACCGAAGCAAACAACAAAAACACAACACAAACAACAAGAAAACAACCCAAACAACAAGAACAACAACGAAATAACGACACAGGCCATCACAAAAGTTCCTACCATCATCTTCGCTAGTCCTATTGACCATTCCTCGGAGTCCTACAGCCACTCAAAGGACATCAATCCCCTTACCATGGACAAAACTAGACGTCCTAAAGCTGATTCCTTTCCCAGATCACAGTTGGAACGGCGTCTTTCCCGTCACGGTATCAATAAAGTGGAGGTGAAATGTGGCTTTATGTTCTCAGGAGGGAAAACCGACTCGCAGCGTCCACAAGAATACTCGAAAGTCAGATTTGAAGGTTCGAGTCCAATTTAACCTCTGAATCGTAGTTGTGGTCGGCAGTAGCGTGAGATAAATTGCCTCGATGGGGGAACGTAAGCAAGAATAATGCTGGTCGTGTCGTTAACGTGAAGAGGTAGTGTAGTGGGCCATCAAGGGTCGTGTTCAAAAGAGGGACTGTCAACTCAGATATCGAGTTCAGAATCTAATTTAAACACTTGAATCGGCATCACAAAGGAAGCAATCAGTAATACACTCAATATTCATGTGATTTGATGGGTTTTATAACAACCATATATGTAGTTGAGGAGGGTAGTTTAGTGTCTAATAATGACCAGGGCATCACGGACGTACTGTGTGATGAATGACTGGGTGAAATACTGTTATTTACATCACTGAGGGTGTGACTGATGTTGTCCATATATCACCTTGTTGTCCGTAGGGTCAGCTGGTGTGTGTGTGTGTGTGTGTGTGTGTGTGTGTGTAACAGTATATACACACACACATTAATACATAAAGATTCACACACACACATACACACACAACCACACTTCAGTCAAACAAGAACTTCCACCCATTATACCACAAATCGTCAAACAAAAAACAAAAAGTGAAAGGAGAAATTTACCTCACAAAAGAAAGCACCACTAGAGAGTTACCTGTCTATGCCTCAGACATTCACCAGGTATTGTAGAGGAGCAGAGAGAGGAAGTTTTGTAGAGATTACTTGTCAGGTAAGAAGGAGCAAGGGAGGAAGTAGGAAAAGGGGGTTAGTGGGAAAGGGAGAGAAGGGGGAAACGATTGAGGGGTGAAAGGGGGAAGGGAGGAGAAAATTTGGGACGTCTCGGGAAAGTTCAAGGAAAAGTTTGTGTTTATGAGTTAAATGACCTCTCTCTCTCTCTCTCTCTCAACATGACGCCATCATCTGCCAAAATTTTATTGTAAGTTAAGTGAACCTACAAAGACACTACTTTACACCTCCAGGTTAGGATAAAATACTAACTTACAATACCTGTGATTAACTAATGTAGTCTCAGTGAAATTTAGTCCCTAACTGAATCTAAATGAACGTGTCCAGTTAGAGTTTTGAGGCCACTTAAGTCAGCCAGGTAGATGCGTTGCTATAATTCTATTTAGTTAAGTTGAAACCCTTAACCTGTGATATTTAGAGTCACCGTCGACATCAGGAGCAGCGGGAGGAGGACAGATGTGGGAGGAGATGTCGTGTACATCAAGTAGTTAACACGGGAAGTTGCCAGAGAATACTGTATGAGGCGCCGGCTGGTGACTCGGAGGGATGAGAGGCGTGTTGATGTGGACAAAACGTTGGACAAAATGTTTTAGTCTTTGGACGTTTTACCCTTAAGAGTCTTGGACTTTTTAGTTTGGGAGCGATTTGGCCTTTAGCATTAAATCTTTGGACGTTTAAGTCTTTGTCACCTCGGCGTTTGACGTTTCTAACCTAACCTAACTTAACTTAATCTAACCTAACCAATATGAGTGACCAATGAGGTTATATAATTACTCGTTAACCTACTCTCTCTCTCTCTCTCTCTCTCTCTCTCTCTCTCTCTCTCTCCTCTCTCTCTCTCCTCTCTCTCTCTCTCATACACACACCCAAGAATACTTGGTTACCAGACACGTAAACACCTTCCATCCCTATCTCTCTCTAACTCAATAAATGTAATGCAGAGAGAGAGAGAGAGAGAGAGAGAGAGAGAGAGAGAGAATTCAACCAATACAAATACATGCATGACGTCACCAACAAATCACCAACAAGGTCCAGTTCCCCCCCTTCTCAATGCACCGCCCTCTGGTAAACGCCTGTCGAAGGTGTTGAAGAAGGAAACATCGCCTCGCCTTCCCCAAGCACCAGGAACACTGTGTTTCACTTGATTGGAACTGTGGAATGCGGTCGTGGGAATTGACAGAGAGTTATTTCTGTTTTTGTGTGTATGTGTAACAGCTTCAGTTATTCGACTTCCCGCTAGAGTGAGGTAGAGAATAACTGACATTTAATTTGCAAGTTTCCTCCTCCCATCTTCCCTCTCCGTGAAGACAATATTAATTGTTCTTTGTTAGGGGCAATGTATAAATGGATGGTGTGTGTGTGTGTGTGTGTGTGTGTGTGTGTGTGTGTGTGTGTGTGTGTGTGTGTGTGTGTGTGTCCTTAAAGTCATTCATGCCAACACAAACATGATAGGATGGAGCATGACACCACTAACACACCTGAGATATTTGTAGGAGATAAATTAAAAAGGTCAAAGGTTGACATGTTGACGATGTTCACACACACACACACACACACACACGAGTATCATACCTACTGTGAACACCTGATATAATGAACGCTAACATTGGTGTGAAATTCTCTAAACCGGACAGATTGTTCAGAGACGATAAACTGTACATTACAAATACTCTCTCTGACTGTTTACTCACATAATTTCCGTCTTTACCGACATGACTGATGGATGAGTTTTTCCTAGTGTTACCTTCTAATGTCTAGTGTGTTGGTAATTGCTTATCTATGATAATGTCATCAAGACTCATCGAGAGAATTCAAGTTGTTAGAACAAATAAGAACTGAAGAAATTATGGAAGTAATTACCGAAAACTGCGAGTTGATGATTGATGGTCGCTTCTGTGGGTGACAGTTGTTGATTAATTGTGCGTCTGGCAGCACCACACAGCTGATGAGGGGGGGAGGGGGAGCGCCCGGGAGCCTGGAGCAGAAACATTCAATCAGCGGTTCAGTCATTTATTAAAAGTCTTTCTTTGAGATGATCAATTAATAATATGCTGAAGGAAGCACTATTTTCCCTTACGTTTTAGCAGATAATCAGTGACTCACATCACCAGGTGTGTTGGCAGGTAAAACACGGCCTCCACCACACCTCGCCCTGCCTCCTGATCAATGATGTAAGTCATATTAAAAAATAAAGGCACATTCTTATGATGGAGAATCTGAGAATATTTTTACCTCGTGAGTAATTACAGGAAGGCGAGAGCTCAAGAGCCAGGTAGCGTCGCTAAGGTAAAAAGTAATTTAATTAATCAACATCTCCCTGAGAGTGGAGGGGCTACAGGCCTCCCGTAAAGAGGTTACAAGGTTTCTTTTTACGAGCTAAATGAGGACAGTGGTTTTTGTAATGGCGTCTATGGCGTGTTAACTCCCTCCAGCCCCTGAGACACAAATTTTTGGCTTTGTTTACAAAGTGGCCTCAGCGTCTGCCTCTCCTGACCTAACTGATGTCGGTTGTTCTCGCGTTAACCACAGTGTATTACTGCACTTATACAACTATGGTCATTAAGCGTGTATACCAGGTTAACAAAAACACTTGTCATCAGCAAATAGGAAACAAGGAAGAGTTTGTTTGTTTTTATCACTTGCGATTTAATATAAACATTGAATAGTTCTTAGTAACCATTTTGTTAGTGTGTCTACTATATAGTATGTTGCTTGTCCTGCATACACACACAGTCACACGTACGTACATAACCATTTACATGTATATACAGAACACATACAGTATATACTTACATACTTACATACACAAGTGTTTAATATCTCTCTCTCTCTCTCTCTCTCTCTCTCTATATATATATATATATATATATATATATATATATATATATATATATATATATATATATATATATATATATATATATATCAGCATCTCATCATCTCGTCTCTCATCTCTCCCCCACAGCCTCCCATCCTCGTTCTCAACCTGGTGGTGGAGGAGGCAGAAAACTTGGAGGCTAAGGACCCAAATGGTAAGTGTTTGATTTCTAGTTTTCTAATATTCTTCCCCAGTGTTACTAGCTGGCTTCCCTAGAAACCTTTACATTCGTCTACTACTCCTCCTCCTGTATCAAAGGTGAGTGCCCGGTCTCTAGTGCCCGGTCTCTAGTATTCCAGTTCTTTCCTAGGATGATTGTGCTGCGTGGTTTAAGTGTTTTATTTTCAGATCGAGTATCAATGTTTTGGTTTTAATATTCTACGACAGGTGAGTGTCCGGTTTCTAGTTCCATGGGGTTCCTATTTCTATTTCTCTTGGAGTTCGTATGTGTCGTTTCTAGTTTTCTACCAAAGATGAGTTTTTGGTTTTATAGTTTTCCAGATGTCTTGTTCTCTATTAAACCTGAGTGCCTGGTTTCTAATTTACAACATTAGGATTTTGGGGTTTGTTGTTCTCTTATAATGATGAATTTGGTCTGCGGTTTCTATTTTTTAAGAATAAATCATTTCATACAGTTTCTAATTTTCTTCCACTGAGTTCTTTGTTTTCCAATTTTCAATCAGGTTAGAAACCATCATATGTGGTTTCTAACTTTCTAAAATTATCAAGTAAATTATATGATGTATAGGTTTCTAAGATTTAGCCCAATAGTTATGTGGTTTCTAGGTTTCACTCCCGAGAGAACCTTCGTAATCAAATGGTTTCTATCTTCAATTGTCGAGGGAATGATGTGACATATACTGTAAGGTTTTTAAAAACTATCCCAACTATATTCTGGTTTCTAATATTCACCCCTTGAGAGATATAATCCAATGCGTTCTCTAAATCTTTACAGCTGGTCTCTATCAATTCACTTAGATTTTCAAACAACATATAAGTGTAAAGTAAACTTATCTTCCTATACTAATCTTAGGATCTACTTATAAAACCAATCTTTTTTTTTTTGGGGGGGGGGGGGTGCGTAGTAAATATCTTATTGTTGTTGCTTGGTAGGATTTGTCTTAAGGTATCTTCCAGAGTTGGTGTCACAGGGATCCGTCTACCTAAGGAAGGACTTGTGATCGAAATGTTGTTTTTTTATTTTTTTATTTATTTATTTATTTTTTTTTTGTGGCCGTGCTATTTTGACTTGGATGTTAGGGTTAATAATAATAATAATAATAATAATAATAATAATAATAAAACAAAGACGATAAACAGAATGACAGATAGAGAGGGAAAGAAAGATTAATATGAAATGAGAAAGAGAATAACACAGCATGACCAACAGAGAAAGAAAAAGAAAATGACGAAATAATAATGAAAAAGAATAACGACAGAGCAGGACAGATCAATAAAGATATAAAAAGACTCTCCTTTCCCTTAGCGAAGATGCGGTGAGCCTGGCGACTAGTCTTGTACACAGAGAGGCAGGTGGGTTGTGAGGCGTCAGCTGAGACTTACTGCTCGCGGCTGGTGGTAATGCTGTAATCCAACCTATGCTGGCAATTTTGTCTGTCATTTTTGCCTGAGGATGTCCCCCGTCAGCTGGGAAGAGAAAAAGAAGAGTGAACGGACGGAAGTTACATGAGGTATCAAAGTACTGTATATACTACAGTGACCTTACCTGATACAGAATGAAAACTACAGACCTTCTTCATTCCTCTACAAAGAAACGTAAATTTCTTATGGTGTTCTGTTAGAATATTTCCCCCATCAAGTGGAGGGAGAGAGAGAGAGAGAGAGAGGGGGGGAAAGGGATGAAGAGGGACTACACAAGGTACAAGAGTAATATTACACTCCTTTGTATATACTGTACAAAGTCAAAGGCCAGCTCCTCTCTCTCTCTCTCTCTATCTCTCTCTCTCTTTCTGAAACAGTATCAACAAGACCTGAATTTCGGTGTTGTTCGTATGAAAAATCTGAAACTTCATGTCATTTCAGTGGAGGATTTCTCTCATCAACTGGAAAGGGGACAGAGAAGAAGAAGGAACAAGAACTACACCAGATACAAGAGTAATATTACACCGCTCTATATGTTAGTCAAAGGCCTCCTTATCTCTCTCTGGAAGGGAATCAAAACGACCTAGTTTTTCAGTCCTTGAAAGAGGGAAAGGAAGGGAAATAGACAGTAACAGCACCAGATTCAAGGATAACACTATACTGCCCCGTGTACCAACTCAGACGCTTATCTCTTTCAGAAATGAAAAGCAGAGCGACTTGGTTCCTGGTTCATTTGCCTGAGAGTTTTTCTTTTATTTTTAGAAGACTTTCCCCACTTATACCGTATGGTGGCAGAGTAGTTATCGTTCTGGGCTGCAATTCCATTGATCCCTGGTTGTGAGTCAGTGCCAATAATTAACCAATCTCCACCAACTTGTTGTAATAGCCAAACTAGCTTACAACTATCCGGAGCACGGGAGGAGATATACCCCTGCCTTATATCAACCTAAGTGTGATGTGTGAGGCCAGACCCGCGTGGCTGACACCCTGGACTGTAACTATCTCATCCTGTGTGTGATATAAGAGAGGCAGCTGACGTCCTCATGGGTTGACTCAGAACTACCACAGTGTACACAGAAAGTTTTACACACGTATAGGTCTCAGTGTCAATATACTCCCTCATCTCTATCTCCTCTGGACCGTAACAGAAGTGAAAAAAAAAACAGAAACGGTACAGTTGGCAAGAACACAACACTCATTCATTCTCTTGGAAATGTAAAACTTATTTAAATCACCAGAAGAATATAAACCCTATATTATTTTACTGAACATTAACCACTATAATGCTAACCTAACCTAACCCCCACCCAGATAATCTTCACGTTGAATAAACTGAGGTATGTAAATCTTGAAGTAATACCTTTGTTTATAGGGAAACGCAATCCTGTCTAGTCCCCGTCGCATATTTGGATAGAGAATTACATCACCGACTCTTACTTAATCGAATCCTTTAGAGAAATTCATCATTGCCCACGAACCTATTCAAGTAACGCTCACCTGCCCCCGAAGTGTTATTCTATTTAGGGCTGTCGGGTAACTCGTGGCTTCGAAATCTAAATCCCCGCCGCCATAGAAAGTGACGAAATAGGTAAATAGGCGATATTCATTGGGTTCATAGTGGTTGTAACAGTAATAGGGAGGAGATAGGGAAAAATAAGGGGATCGTAGTAGTAATAGGACAAGGCAAACAGCGTTAATAGTCGTTACTATAATAAATAGGAATGAGAGTTTCGGTTGTTGGTGTCACATTACGTAATAAAAAATAATGACTACTATTTGATGGTATTACATTAGAAAATAAGCAAGTATTAACCCCTAGAGTACGATGGTTTGACCTCCTGAGTGCAATGATCTTGTTCTCAAAGTATTAAGTCATCGTATTTCCTTTGAGATTTCCTGGACAAAGTAATGTGTGTGTGTGTGTGTGTGTGTGTGTGTGTGTGTGTGTGTGTGTGTGTGTGTATTGACCGCATGTATGTGTATCGCCTGAGGCAGTCAAGTGAGCTGTGTGAGAATGTCATTACACTGATGAAACCTGGCACCCTGGGGGCACAGTGCCACAGTACATGCTTTAGGTAGCAGTCTCTCTCTCTCTCTCTCTCTCTCTCTCTCTCTCTCTACAATCTACGATGGTCTCACAAGGTTGACAGTGCCACCAATACGGCTTCAGGCACCAGGAGGGGAGTGTTGTAGTGTGCCACCAACATAGCTTGGTCTATAATGCCACCACCATGTATTGAGGCAACAGGGGGAGAGAGTAAGAGTGCAGGGGTCGCGCCACATGGAAGTCAGGGCCAAAATATACTGTATATAACTGTATATTCTCGGGAATTTTAGATTTGAATTTCGTTGACCTGTGGCTGAAGGCTTCGACGTGCTGAGGTATTCCTGGCCTGACATTTTCGTGGTTTACCTCTCTCTCTCTCTCTCTCTCTCTCTCTCTCTCTGCATTACCACATCTTCTGCTTCATCCTCTCGTCATTCTGGTCCTTTCCATCGTAATTATATTTGCATCCTTTATCAGGTATTAAGTCTTGTGCATCTTATTAGTGTGTATTTTTTCTTGTCACCTTTACTGAGTAACTTCGTTATTTCAGCTCTCAATATTCTCACTCCTGTTTTAGTGTGTGTGTGTGTGTGTGTGTGTGTGTGTGTGTGTGTGTGTGTGTGTGTGTGTGTGTGTGATAGACAGCTCCATTAACTCCAATACCACCTATTGCCCCAAATTACACCATTATCGCTATTATTACCATTATCATTATTATCATTTTACTATGATTATTACCATTATCTTTGTTATTACCATTATTATCATTAGTTATCGCTTGACTCTTGCACCCTCTTGCACCATTAACACCATTTGGTACCATCTCACTCTTGCACCATTAACAACCATTAGGTACCGTCTAACCATCTTGCACCATTAACAACCATTAGGCACCATCACACCCTCTTGCGCCATCAACACCATTAGGTACCGTCTCACCCTTTTGCACCAACACCATTAGGTACCGTCTTACCCTCCTGCACCATTTACACCATTAGCTACCGTTTCACCATCTTGCACCATTAACAACCATTAGGTGCCGCCTCACCCTTTTGCACCAACACCATTAGATACCGTCTCACCTTCTTGCACCATCAACACCATTACTGCCTCACCCTCTTGCATCATTAACACCATTAGCTTCCGTTTCACCCTCTTGCACCATTAACAACCATTAGGTACCATCACACCCTCTTGTACCATTAACACCATTAGGTACTGTCTCACCCTCTTGCACCATTAACACCATTAGGTACCTTTTCACCCTCTTGCACCATTAACACCATTAGGTGCTCTCTCACCCTCTTGCACCATTAACACTATTAGACACCACCCTACCGTCTTGCACCATTAACACCATTTAGTATCGCCACACTGTATCCCCACCAACAGCATCAGCTTCTTTAATGGGGGATAATTAATGGGAGTAATTAAGTTCCAGTAATGATCAACGTGACCGCTAGGTGTTGTTCATGACAGACTGACAGACAGACTGTAGACAGATA